TTCACCCTTGCAGGCCGCAAGACTTGAAACACCAGCCGCTATCAACAGAAACCAATCAGTATATCTCTAAATTATTATCGTGGAATGTGCCTCCTTCTAAAATTGTTGAATGTCTCCGGGGCGATTCTTACAAAAGGAACAATCGTTTGAGCAGGAGCTCTATCAAACTAAAGAGAGACAACCTTGTTAAAAAGAAAACTATAACTGAAAGGATGAGAAAAAAGAAATCCAGTCTCAGATTTTCCAATAATGATGCAGAATCTGTGTACATGAAAGTCAACAAACTAATCCAGGAAAACTACAACCCTGTTCTCATGTACAAACCTCTTGGAGAGAAGACCATTATTGGACCCAAGGGGTCCGAAAATCTGCCAGATGATGTTTTTGTTTTAGCTATACAGTCAAAAGAGCAACTAGAAATGATGGTGGAAGGATGCAAAGAAATACTGGTCATTGATGAGACTCACTCCACCAACTCGTATGATTATAAGCTCTTGAATCTAATGGTGAGGGACAAGTTCAACCTTGGGTACCCTGTTGGTCATGCTATTTGTCACCCCTCAGAAGAGACAACTCTGCAGTATGTCTTCAAAGCCATTAAGGAAAGGTGTCCAGATTTATCAATTAATTGCTGCATCACAGACGATGACCCAAAATTAATAAATTCCGTCAATGCAGGATTGGGAGAAGCAATTTGGCATTTGTTATGTGTGTGGCACATACACCGTACAATTCAGTCAAATTTAAGAGAACGCATTAAGGATAATGATTTGGTCAATGAAATTTATGGCATTATGTGTGTTCTTATTGAAGAATGTGACGAATCTCAGTTCATACAGCTGAAAGATTCTTTTTTAAATGAATATTCGAACAACTGTCCAGAGTTTACTAAGTATTTTAACAATACATTCTTCCCAAAAGCGCATAAATGGGCAAAATGTTATCGCCTTAAACCTCATGCTGAAACTGAGACAACTATGCTCGTGGAGTCCTTTCACAACATTTTGAAGACTCATTACATGAAAAGAGCTCCATGCAAACGTCTAGACGACTTGATTGATCTTCTGTTGGATATTGAAGAGGATTACTACGTGAGGTACACAAATTCCGTTCTTCTGAAGACAATGTCTGATAAGGACCATAGAGCTCTGTCTAGACGACATCTGAAGGGCATTGAAATAAAAGACTCTGATGTCACCCTGGTATCAGAAAGATTCTGGACTGTGAAATCTCAAGAGAAAGATTCTTCTGAGGTTTATAGTGTAGTAATGTGTGCTGATCAATGTTCAAGTGACTCATGTATATATGCTTGTTGTTACTGTGACACTTTGTGCTCTCATTTATTCTCTTGCTCTTGCCCTGATATGTTTCCGCTCTGTAAACATATACATAAGGTATTTTCAATGATTGAGTTATCAAAGCCTCTTGAAAAGGAGAAGAAAGAGCCTGAATTTTTCTTAGGAGCTTTTGAGAACAATATTCCATTAGTTGAAGAGACAGCAGCTGACAGCCGTTCCAACTATACGGAAAGAAGTGTTCAACAGCGCATCCAAAAAATAAGAGAAATCATGGAAGACTTTGACAAAACTTATCTAGACAACAGTCCTGTAAAGAGAATTTTGCCACAGATTGAAACTACCCTGACCGACTTGCAAACTCAATGTAAAGTTCTGTGCTTCGATCCTCCAAGGGCAGTACCTGAAATGGAGGTGAAGACTCAGACTGCTCCAAATGAAAAATTACAGAAACAGTTAACGCCTTTTGTGAAAAAAACAAAAAAACGCAAGCCGACAGCATTGAAGAAGCCGCACAAGAAATGTGTCACAGAAATAAAAGACTTTCTACTCCAGGAGCACCAGGAGAGTGAAGAGAATGTTGACTCAGATTTAGCTCCTTTGTCCGAGTTGAATCATGAGCAGGCTACTGGTGAACCCACTATAGATATTGATAATCCTCTTGATGTTGTGATAGAATATCAGGGGATAAAGGTTTTATCATTGCATTTAAAGGCTCTAAATCCAACTCTTGATGAAAGAGAATTGCCTTTACTTCTTCAAGCAGATTCAAAATTTGTGCATGGTTATTTGTATGACGAAGTATAATCAACATTTTCCTCAAGATTATATGTAATGAGAGTGTTTACGCCTGTGACAACAGTTGTCCAAAGACTCTGTAGTGGAAATCAGAACTTCAAGAGTCTCCCCATGAAACTCTCATCGAGAGAATTATTTTTATATCCTGGTCATTCAGGCAACCACTGGATCAGTATTGTTGCAGAAGTAAAATCTTCTTTATTATGGTTATACAATTCTCTCTCCTGCACAGGAGCCTGTTATCTACATATGAAAGACTAATATTAAGTGCTGTTGCTAAGTTTCGAAGAAATGTTTTCATTGAAATCGAATCTTGGTCTATCAAGCGTCATTTTGATATTTAGAAGGATACTGTAAGCTGCGGTGTTCACATTTGCTGGTTTGCACTTCTTTTAACAGGAATTTTAAGGACGACGGGCTTTGCGGGCCGAAGGCCCATTACATCGCCGCCGGCAGGCCAAGCAGGCCCGGCCCCTGCCGAACGGAGTTGCCGGCGCAGCGAAGCGAAGCTGGCAACTTCGTTTGGCGGAAGGGCGGGCCTGCTTGTTGTTCTTCAATACCGGCCAGAGCGCACCTTGGCCTACTGACGTTCTATTTTTAGATCGATTAATTTTTTTCAAAACACTAAACCTTATTCATTTTGACAACGCCACGATAATGTATAAAACCTGCACTACTTATATTAACTACGTAAACTACCTTAGTTATAGGTTCTGAATGTATTTGTAGTGTTATTTTAAATTCTCGTGAACCCTGCTAAACTCCATTTTTCCAAAAAGACGAGGGTGTTTATGCATTGACACTTCACATAAAAGTAAACCTAATTCAGTTTTTTTTCCCATTTATTTCTAGCCTCGGCATTCTACATTTGCCGACTGTGGTGTCATGGTAGGGTTAAGGGAGGCAGGCCTCACAATAGACCAAATTGCAGCTCACCCAAGTAAGCATTTTAGTCGTGACACCGTCCAATACTGGATCGACCGTTACGGTGCGGAGGGCTACGAAGGCCTCAAAACAAGACCGAGAATCGGGCGTCCAAAGGTGGTCCCAGATGATGACGAGCTTCTCATCATTTCGGTCCTGTGCAACTAGGTTTTCATTTCAGTTCGCAGCTTAACTCCTCCTTCTGCTACTTCGACGTATGAAACCAGGTTGCAAGCGACGGTCAGACATTGACTCTAGTAATGATTTGCTTAATTGAGACATATTCCCAAACAGGCGCAAGCGGGTTGCAGTGACAGTAAACAGTATTTTTACACCTTGACGCCTAACTTTATGAAACCTGTTTGAACTAAGGAGGAAATCATCTTGCATGATTATAAGCACCCGTTCTAATTATTTTGATATTGTTTCGGTCGTGTGCAACTAGGTTTTCATTAGAATTCGCAGCTTAAGTCCACCTGCTGCTACTTTATGAAACCTGCTTGCACTAAAGAGGAAAACTTCTTGCAGAATAATAAAAACCGGTTTTAATTATTTTGGCATTGTTTCGGTCGTGTGCCACTAGGTTTTCAGTTCAATTCGCAGCTTAACTCCACCTGCTGCTACTTCGACGTATGAAACCAAGTTGCAAGCGACGGTCAGACGTTACTCGTAACTACACTGACGATTTTCCTAATTGAGACATTTTGCTAACGCTGCTTCACCGTATGAATCCTGGTTACAAAGGACGCCCAATCATTGGCTGTTAATCTAGAAGCAAGTTGTTTTTGTTGGATTTTTTTTTTTTTTTGTCAAGTGCAAGTTGGTTTGCTTTTCTTTCCTCTATTTTAATGCAGCATCTGCCATCTTCTGGTTCTTGTTTCTGCTTGATTTGTCTGAAGAGAAATGCATCGGCTTTATTTATTTTCAATACTGTATTTGTTTTCAGGTTGTAACATTTTTTACAAGAATTATTTTGCAAATATGCTTGTTTTTCGTTTGTGAATAAATAAACAATTACAATAAGTTTGAAACCGTTCTCTTTTTAATATTCCCTACACAAACTCCTATTTAAAATTTAGAATGTGCTACGTACGCCTAGGCAAAAGCAGCCGATTGACGCTGAACAGCTTAGCCCTGTAAAGTATCAAGAGTAATGAATAAGAACATAC